TGGTGAAGTGTACTGCAGCTGGGGATGAAGTGTACTACAGCGTGGGATAAAGTGTACTACAGCTTGGTATAAAGAGTACTCAGCTGGCAATAAAGAGTACTGCAGATTGGGATAAAGTGTACTGTACTTTGGGGTAAAGTGTACTGCAGCTTGTTATGAAGAGTACTGCAGCTAGGGATAAAGTGTACTGTAGCTTGTGAGAACGCGTACTACACTTTGGGATAAAGTGTACTGCAGCTTGTTATAAAGTGTACTGCAGCTTGGATAAAGTGTACTGCAACTTTGGATAATATTTACTGAAGCTTATGTTGAAGTGTACTGCAGCTGGGGATAAAGTGTACTACAGATTGGGATAAAGTTTACTACAGCTTGGGATAAAGTGTACTGCAACTTTGAATAATATTTACTGAAACTTATGTTGAAGTGTACTGCAGCTGGGGATAAAGTGTACTACAGCTTGGGATAAAGTTTACTACAGCTTGGGATAAAGTGTACTACAGCTTGGGATAGAGTTTACTACAGCTTGGATAATGTGTACTGCAACTTTGGATAATATTTACTGAAGCTTATGTTGAAGTGTACTGCAGCTGGGGATAAAGTGTACTGCAGCTTGGGATAAAGTGTACTACAGCTTGGGATAAAGTTTACTACAGCTTGGGATAAAGTCTACTACAACTTTGGATAATATTTACTGAAGCTTATTTTGAAGTGTTCTGCAGCTGTGGATAAAGTGTACTACAGCTTGGGATAAAGTTTACTACAGCTTGGGATAAAGCATACTACAGCTTGGGACAAAGTGTACTGTAGCTTGGGAAAAAGTGTACTACAGCTTGGGATAAAGAGTTCTCTGCTGGCAATAAAAATAAAGTGTATTGTAGCTTCGGATCAAGTGAAGGGAAGTTATGTAACTTAATCTTCTTCTGTTGGGGGAATCATATTTCGGAAATGTTTGTCAAAAGGCGGTAAAATACTTAAAGTCTTAGAGTTAAAAAGTTGAGAATGAACCAAAGTTGAAATGTTTTTGAATGTTTAAGAAAACTATTTGATGACATTTAACTATAACGATTAAATATAAAATACAATATACGTATATACTTCATAATAGAAATCACAATTTACATTTTACAGATTAGCTGGAATTAAAAATATGTAAATAAATATAAAAATTATCTTAGTTTTCTATTTATATAATGTTATCTTTTTTATGCGTATCTGATCCCGACCAATGTTCGTGTTGTACAAATATGGACCCTGAACTTGTTTCATAAAATCAAATTTAAACGTATTTATGCAGTCAATGAACATGAATTGTGTAGGACAGTTTTCTTATAACTTTACTTTATTATTGTAAAGTATGCCAAAATTTTAGTATACTTACGATTATTTTAGATTAATTTAAAAGTTAAACTAGTGTCGTAGAAAGTAAATTATATACAAACAGTATATGACACTATAATCAACAGAATTCCATTTTTAAATCATACAATAATATTGACATTTTCAAAGACGGTTTTACATGAATTCTTGTATTTGTTACTAAACAGAAAAACCAATATTTAAAAAAAAATAAATTTTCTAAGATATAATTTCACTCTGAAATCCAATAACGACAAAGCAAAATTTAAAAAATAAAGTGATTGTTCACCAATTTAAAACTCTGCGAAATATTCCTATTTTTAGAAGAGAGAAAACAACTAGTGCTAATCTGACTGTATGCTGAGAACCATCTGATTGACAATTTATTTCATAAAAATCAAATCAGATAGAAACGATTTCCTTAATCGCTGAATTTATAAATTTTTTTCTTTTCCTTTTTTAACAATATAAAATATTAATTTTTTTTGAAAAGTAAATTCTGTGTTATAATTTGAAAAGTGGGGCATGCCCAATTCAAAACGGTACCCTGGCAACCTTAATATGAGTTATAATTTATAAGATTTTGTTTTTTGATATAATTTCTCTTTTGTTTCTGAAGCAAGAAATGCTCTCATTTCCAGAAAAACCACAAATGAAATGTACAGTTTTAAGAAACAAAAAGCTAAATATCTAATGTACTCTTGATCAGACAAGACATTTTGTCGGTGTCGTTGTGAATCGGACAAGTATACTCTTTAAATGGAAGGTCAGTGTCACGTGAAATTACGTTTACTGTCCCTTTAAATCTAAAACAACCCGTTTTTTTCTGACAGAAACGCTCTGATAAAAACCAAACAAAAAAATAATCTATTATTCTGTCCCTCAAGCACATCTCTGAACAGTAGATTTGCTTAGTTGTGCTGTATCTCAAAACAATGAACAATCACTTTATATTTAGAAATCTCCATTGTTATGTTAGAACGGATAGAACGGAGGAAAGAAAAGGATAAAACCACAAATTATGTTTGAAACGAAATTTTTTTCTTATACAGACGAGTAACATAATTCCTATATTTCTGAACTAAAACTGTCCTTTTTTTAATTTGAAAACTAAAAAAAATTTGAAATTGAATTTTTCTAAAACTTACATATTTTTAATTCCAACAAAGACATTTAGCACTGATACATTTACAATTATTTACAATTATTACAAATTCATATATATAGTCTTATAATCCATACAGAGATACTATTATCCGGATCAATCTATGTATCTATAAGACTACAATCCAATCAGTATCCTATAGTCCGGATTATTCAATGGATCCAAACAGAATCCTAAAGTCCGGATTATTCAATGGATCCAAACAGAATCCTATAGTCCGGATGAATCTATGGATTTATAATCCAAACAGAATCCTATAGTTCGAATGAATCTATGGATTTAAAAATCCAAACAGAATCCTATAGTCCGGATGCATCTATGGATTTAAATCCAAACAGAATCCTGCAGTCCGAATGAATCTGGGATCAATAATCCATACAGAATTCTATAGGCCGGATGAATCTATGGATCTATAATCCAAAAAGAATCCTATAGTCCGGATGAATCTTTCATTCATCGTTCATCCAGACTATAGGATCTGCCCATAGGACCCTTTAGTCCGGATGAATCCAAGGTTCAAAATCCAATAACATTATGCAAACTAGGCCGGATGAATCTAGAGTTAGGTTGACGATGGCTTGAAAGAAGTATAGTTTTCCCAAATTAAGACTGTAAACAGTTAAAAAATATCGTTAGATTGAATAGTAAATAAAGGAATTGCGCCTTTTCCACAAATTCTCTTTTTATAATCCATTTATCTTGGCATCCTTAGATATGTTAAACTCTGAATGCTGTTATAAAAAAATTAAGTTTGAAATATCAAAGATTTACAACATCAGGTTAGAAAATTTGAGTCTATGGTATAAGACTTAATTCCTTTAATATATTCCACACATATTTATATATATTCATATAGATATAATTCATGAATGTAAATTTGAATATATTCATCTATTTTTAATATAAATCATCAATCCTAGAACAATCTTGATCATAAGTTTGCACTGTTTATAATCAAAGTTAGTACAGAGCATCAAAGTTCTGCTAAAAGTAATTTTACAAGTTTGTTGGTCCGTACGTAATGTTTTAGTTATGCAGACAGCATTCTTAGCTTATACACAATATTTACATACGTACTCAACCTTAAACTTGTATTACTCCTATATCTTTGATACTCTCTGGACACCCAGGAGGTTTTCAAAAGAGGGTAAATGCAATTTTTAATCACACTCAAACATAGCTAGTCACTTTAATCAACACATAGGTATAGATAACACTACATGCTTTCTTTGGGATTTCGTAAAAATGTCAATTTATGTAATTATGGACGAAATCTGTATGATAAATTGCATGTTAATTATAGTTATTTAAAAACTTGAACGAGCTTTTCAAAATATAATCATTTTGTGGGGGTTTAAGCTTCATATTGAAAATGTTTACAGATATGCAATAATAACTCTAAAACTAGATTAGAGCATTCTAGTACAAGATCACTTGTATGTACATTCATGTACAATTTTTATGTTCATTGTACAATATACATATTAATTTACCATATCATATTGATGCACAATATAAATATTAATTTACAATACACATTATACATATTGATGTTTACAAACATTTAACAAGTTATAAACAACATCAGAAACCCATATTGAATAACAACATACAGTACTTTGTAAGTACATGGAACGCATTAATATAATTAGAAGTACATCTATATACAGCTCTGTACTGTAAGCACATAGATTCAGCCTCCTTATAAACACTAAACAGTCTCATCAATTTTTAAGACAGGGCTGACTTTGAAGTGTCGCAACGCCCTAAGCTTAAATTTTACCGCTCTAACTCACTTATGCTTTTCTGTAGCCCTTTACATGTACATTTTAGCACTGTAAAGCACTTGTTGTTAGATGTGGTTTTTTAGAAGTTATTGGCAAAATTCTCAACGATTTTTGCTTGAGAGCGTGAGACCATTAAATCGCAGTGTAAGGGGAAGGGGGGGGGGGGTAAAAGGGGCATTTTCCTTCAATAAACTTTTAAATTTCATTTATTTTCTCCTGTAATAACGTCTTTCAACAATGTAAAAGAATATTTCAAAATTTTGTTGAAAAGTATAAATCTATTCTGGGTGTAGGAGAAACATGAGTTTATGCTTTGCTTCATTTTTCATTTACGTAAACAGGTTTTTTACTTTGTGATATACATTATACAAATACAAAACAGATAGGAATAGTTGTATTTTAACCTACAAATTGGATAAAAAAATGTTTTCTATGTTTACGACGAAACCACGGGCAGCCATAGTACATTTGAATTTCCAAGTCGGGTCAACCTTTCCGTCCCCAGTTTGTACTGTACTGAGCTCTATGAACAGGACTAGCCGGTGCAACAAGGTTGACGCAGTTCTGACTTTATGCTTCATATAGGGTGAATTTACTTTTATTTACTAAAGGGGCAGAGGTGCGTGAAATATATAGATATAAATGAAACATTTTTTTATACAAATATTCATCGTTGTTTTTTAGGGCTTTTTAAAATCATTTATTTTTTTACTTTTGTTATTTTCAGTTTGTCAGCATCTTTAATAAAAAAACAAAGAAATTGTTCCTCTGTGTAATATTGTTAATTTCCTGTACTCTTGCACTCCTATGTTTTCTGAATGATCTTGCATTAAAATCATGGAATCATAATTGGACTTTAGGAGAACATTTCCTTTCAATGGTAAAACAAGGAAGAGTTGGAGGATTTTTGAGTTTTTAAATTTTCACTGAGACTTTTTAAAATACAATGCAGAATTCACTTTTGTCCTGTCCTTTTGTTATTCAACAATCAAATCTTTTGTACAAAAGTTTTTTGAAGTTATTTTACTCAATAAAAGATTCACTGACGACATCAGCACGAAAAATTGGATTTCCGGCTTTTTAAAGAAAGTCTTTAATTCAGAAGTCTTTGTTTTTTTCCCATACGTCTTATTTTATTTAACTCGGTATTAATCTTTAAAGTTGAGGTTTTACTCAAACGAATTTAGTTAATTAACATCTCGAGTTCACTGGAAGTTTTTGGTAATCGTTTTTTATGATTTCTAGACGTTTAGGACAATCTACCTGATTTATTGTCGAAACACCTATATTTTTAACATATATGTTGATGTTGTATAATGGTTATAGTTGGTAATAAATCACTCAATGTTTGTGATTTACATACTAGTAATTGTAATTTAGCGTTTATCAATTGTGAATTGTGATAGATATACCACAATAATATAATAAATATATATTATATATATAGTTCTAGTTTTATGATAAAATATCATGAATTCCTGCGATAGTTTAGAGCAAGGTTTTTAATTTCAAAAAAAACATATTCTTGTTTTTTTGTCATTAAACTAACTTTAAATTAATTTTAAGAAACAATACGGAATTTATTATATTAACTTATCGTCATTTTCTAAGCTAATTATTTTTTTGAATTTTCGATATACACAATCAACCATATTTATAGCTTAAGATCAACCATACTCATGCACTCATGGTGTTCCTCGGCCCGAACTACTATCCTGAAAAGAAAAAAACAATTCGAATTATTCTTTCAAAGGATTAATCATCAAGACGATAAAAAGTTTTTTTTATCGATTATTTAGCAAATCATATAGTTATAAATTTAATTGAATTCTCAATTGTTTTGCAAATATTAAAAACAATAACGCGTTTTTAATTAATCTTTTATCTAATCACAAAATAATTTGGTAAGCATTCCCTTTTATAATTAATACCGCCAGCTCATTAACACACAGACGGTGGATACACATAATACATTCTTTTCCGGAGAATTAGTGTAATCTCTAGCATCATTCAAATATTACTGAGGGAGGGAGGGAAGAGAGTTGTGTGGGGGGGCGGGGTCCCCCTGAAAAAATTCAAAGATGTGCGACGCATCTTTTAGGAAGCATGAGGGTAAAACTAGCTCAATACGANTATATCTAAAATGAATCGAAAAAAACATTGTTTGAAACTGTAAACTTTGCTGCTGGGTTTGGACGATTTAAAGTTTGTGACAAAACTACTCGATAATTACATTGGATAGTGGATACCATTATACTTCCGTTTACTCTATTAGTTTGGTTTTAACTTTTGCCTAAAGAATGTTAGAGGCGCAAAGGATTTGAGTTTTAAAAGGAATTTAGTTTTTGTCAGAAACTCTTATTCTTATGTCTTTGCATTTCAATGTCGGATACCTTAGATATTTCAAACTATGAATCATTTTAGATCAAATAATGATAGTTTGAAAAATCAAAGGCTTACACAATCAGGTTGCAAAGATATAGCGATTGTAATATCAGAATTTGTGACAAAAACTCAGTTCCTCTTAAAATTCTTTTATCATTGATCAGATTATTTGATCCAAAAGAATTCAAAGTATGTAATAAGTAATATCTACGATTTTTTGTTGAAAAATATAGGGAGTAGAAAATCATAGTTCATGGAAAAGTTTCAATTCCTTTTTAATAGAATGTTGTTGCTCTGCAGGCTTAAATACATAATATCTTGTAAGTAAATTAACCAAGGATTTGGTTTGGTTAAGATGAGAGAAAGAGGAATAGCAGGGAAGAAAAGAAAAAGTAAGAGGTAAAGTTTTTAGGATAGATGGGGGGGGGGGGTTATTAGTTTTTTACTTTTAATGGAAGTTAAAGTCCTTGTTTTTGAAATTCATAGGTAAAGTTTATCTATATGAATAAAATAGTAATCTTTGAGTCTTTCTTATCTGTGTGAAAGTCCGGTTACAATTAAATAAGTAACTTATTTGCTTCGAATTTGATTATGAGACTCCCAGATTGGTTGGAACATATTAAGTTGCATGGAGAAGGCCGACCTTTGAAGGAAAAACTTATTTTCTAGGCAAGACTGCGTTTCCAAGCTCGGTAAACTTATAACTTATAAATGTTTATCCATAAAATGTTAAAATGATGTGAAACTTTGTGAAGCTTTAAACAAAGAAGGATAAATTATCTGGCCATCGTCCACACAATTCCGTTTATCCATCTAATTCAAAGGCCATTTGTTGGTCAAATAAATCTTGAGAAAACAAAATCAAATAAATTTTAAGCTTGTAATAGTTTTACAGTACAGTACAATGCTGTACAGTACAGTACAGTACAGTACAGTACAGTACAGTACAGTACAGTACAGTACAGTACAGTACAGTACAGTACAGTACAGTAATGTACAATACAATACAGTGCAGTACAGTACAGTACCGCACAGTAAATTACAGTACAGTATCTTGTAATTATTTTGTTTAATCGAAAAAATGCCGATGCGTACAACTTTTTAGGTGGAGGGTCGCCTCGAATTACATCAAGGGTCTCTATCAAATTTAATTGGATGAAAGGAAGGAGTAAAATTTGAATTTAAAGGAATTTTGGCTCAATACACTCTTTATCTTGTCTTTAGTGCCAAGATAAACCACAATTAAAGGGATTGTCGCAGTAGTTTCAAGTGACCCTCCGATTAACAACGGTACCACCATGATTTGACTTCAGGATAACGTAGTTCGCTTGAAAAGAGTTTTCTTTTGATAGTGCTAACCTTCTATATTTCAAAATTGAGGTTTTTTGATTTGACAGAAAACTTAGTTTAAAATTTGGGTTGCAAAGATATAGGGATTAGAAAACCAGAGTTTATGTGTCAGCTCTTTTAATTTTTTTTAACCTAAAATTTTCTTTTTAATAAAATCTTTCAAACAACTAGAATTATAAATTTATTGGTTTAAAGGTTTAATTTCCTGCATAAACTTACTTTATGTTTAATTGCTTAACAAAACATGAATAACTACCACTTAACTGAAATTCAGGACAAATTTTAGCTAAAAATCTAAACATTTTCATGTTTTGAAAATAGGTTTTAGTTTAGTTAAGGTTTAGTCTCATGTAACCCTTGTAAGCCATCAATAGTCGAAAAAAGTGTTTCTCAAATCCCATGTTTTTTTTTGCAGAGCAGATGGAAATAAAGTAGGTTAAATAAAACCTCATGAAAATCCTTTGGAAGTGATCTTTTCGATTGAAGAAAACCTCATGAAAACCCTAGTGATATCGCTATCTAATATAAGACGTGGATGAATAAAACCTCAGGAAGTGATCTATAGAGAGATGATCTACCTTGATTAAGCCCTATGGTGCAATCTTTAAACAAAGTAGAAATAACAAAACCTTAAAAAGCCTTATGGAGCGATCTATGGACAGTGCAGGTTTAACAAAAACTCATATGGCCAATCAGAAGACAGGATGTTTTGTGTTCAAACAAAGAGAGAACAAAGAATTTGTGGATATTTAAAACCAGATGATAAAGCAAATTCAGAGTGCACACTTTGGATATACAGATAAAGAGATCGGGAGCATGGGTATCAAACCTATCTCTGAAAATATTTTTTTCATGTCTTTTTTAACTTGTTTCTAGCATCCGTTTTGATAATTTATGTGAAAATAATATAAATTGTTTGAATCGCAAAAAATGCATAAATATGATATACAAAAGTACCTTGTAGTTTCGTTCAGATTGTCCTGGCTTGTCGATCTTGGGTGTCTGTTTGCAAATGCTGTACACCAATTCGGAAGAACCTGAACATCAGGATTAAATATTTGATCTGTTTGCAAATGCTGCATCCACACTCCACTGGGTTACCTACCGAGGATGAGACTTGTTTCCTTGTTCATTATTCGTGATTCCCTGATCCTATAAACTTCTTTTTTCTTTTTCAAATTATTAAACAAGACATTTATATACTGCTTTGAACTTTTGAAGGCAGAAGGCTTAATTTATTCTTGGGATGAAGGGTTTCAAGTTATCTTTTACAGTCTCATCCTTTGGAAACCCTGTACCAGTTTTTGGTCTAAAATATGGGTTCTACGGTATGATCATGTATTACTGCAATAAAGTATGACTTCAGAAATCCACTAAAAATGTATTTTAAAATCAGCAAATTCAGTTTTCTTCAATCCATTATCGTAGAACATTTTAATTTACATAAAAAAATCATTATTTCACAATGCCAACTCCATCCATCCATTATACAAGCACATCAGCAACGATTAGCTCATCAAGACGTTGCGTCATACCAGGAAGAGAGCTGAATTATGTGTCAATATTGATAGTACATAAAGTAAACATTTAGTGCTTTCTTGTAAATTTTCTATTGTATAATGAATAAAAAAAGTGCATTTAAAATTTTTTTTTATCCATCTCTGAAGTCAAACTTTTTTGCATTTATACTTGATCATACTGTAGTTGGACTAAAAAACCCGTTTTTATGCATCGTAAATTGTGATTTTTTGCGTTGATCCTTGTGTTTTTAATATTTTTGCATTTCTGATGATGTGTAAGCAAATTGGGTGGAATGTAAAAGAACCAATTTTCCACAAATGTTTATAAAAATTTGTTGGCAAAATTTTTGCGCAAAACTTTCTTTCACAAATTGTACGAAAAAATTTCGCAAATAGGCAAACAGACAGATAAAATGAAATTATTAAGTGATTAAATTTTAAAATTTTACACTTTGTTCAAGTACATTTCTCCTACATAGACCAAATATTTTATTTAGCAAGTCAGTATACAAATGTTTCATAGTGTAATAGAGCTCTATAGTATAGAAAATTACAATATAGAGCAAATTACCCTAAAGAGTAAATGTCGATCGAGTAAATGTCACTAGAGCAAATGTCAGTCGAGTAAATGTCAGTATAGAGTAAATGTCAGTAAAGTAAATGTCAGTATAGAGTAAATGTCAGTAAAGTAAATGCTATAGAGTAAATGTCAGTGGAGTAAATGCCAGTTGAGTAAATGTCAGCAGAGTAAATGTCAGTAGAGTACATAACATATCAGTAGAGTAAATGTCAGAAGAGTAAATATCAAAGTTAAGTCAAAGTTAATGCCAGAGGTTGTATTCTGCATTCAGTATTCAGTATTCAGTATTCAGTATTCAGTATTCAGTATTCAGTATTCAGTATTCAGTATTAAGTATTCAGTATTCAGTATTCAGTTTTATTTAGAATGATAAAAAGAAAACATGACACTGCGTAAAATGAATTATAGCAAGGTTTAAATAAATTGAAACGTATTTGTTTGTAGATATGTACACTGACATACGGAATGAGTTTATACATACATATTTATAATATCATAACTTCTTGAATTTTAATAAAATCAATGAATACACAATGCTATAGCGTTATGAGAATGCATAAAATGGCAGAAGGGTGTGCATTTGTTTAGGGATGGACACAGAGTATTTTTTTTAATCCCTCCGTAAATGGTTAATTAAATTCATGTTCATTCGATGTTTACTGATCAGTTCTAGGTACTTGCATGAAAAGACTCATAGATATGTGTCATAGTAGGTAGAGGGGGGGGGGGGGTTAAATCAAATTTAACTTTTATATCTTTAATGATCAGCAATCATTTAGTAAATAAGTTGCAAATTTTAAAATAAAATGGAACGTAAAACTACGCGTTTCTTTACTGGAATAATTTAGCAAATCTGAAAATCCTTCAAATGGATGGAAAGAGAGTTTAATGAGAAATTTAGATGATTTTCTTCCAAAAAAACTTAAAGTTTTGTTGAAAAAATGAAAAACTCAGACGTAATTTCCTAATAGAAAACAGTATAAATGCTCAAATTTACATTTGTCCACTGCCGGCAGTCATATCTCACCTCTTAACCATTTTAAGGTTTTCGAACAAAATTCCCCTGACTTAAAAAATTTCCCCTGAACTGGGCTCACCTTGATAAACTCCTTCCTGAGGTTAGTGTTCAACCAGCCGTACAGTACAGGATTACTCACAGTACAGCTCATAGCAGACAGATGACACATTCCCAGTACAAAGAAATAGACCTAGAGAGACAAACACATGTTACAATTACAATAACATTAAGTAATCTTACAAAATAATTAAGGATGGAGTCTTGAAGAAGATTTTCTTTGTTATTGAACAAAATCACAAAATCACTGGTATATATGTATACAGCAATGATATGATTTACCACAGATTTAAAGGGACTGTAAACGTAATTTCAAGTGGAATGTGAGATTTATAACGCTACTTCAACGTAAAGAAGCCTGACAATGTATCATTTACTCTCAGACAATTTAGAACCAATTGAAATATAATGCCCCGAGGGATTCAATGATAAACCCGAAACCACAGTCTAAAGATAATAAAAGAATCAAAATATCTTATTCATATTTGATTAAACAAAGATTTCAAGGGTACCATGTGAATCGGACATGTATTTATAATGTATGGCCACTTTTTACTCCAATCCGGTCATATGGTACAAGGTCAAAGGAAATGGGGTTTGCCACAAATACCATTTTCTAATCAGCTTTGCAACCCAATATCATAGAACTTTGATATTTCAAACTAGGAACTCAGTCTAAGTTTTAAATATCTAGTTGTCTTAAAAAAAGCTTGTTTGATCGCAAATAAGGATTTTAAATTTGATCTTTTAACAACTCTGAAAAGGAGGAGGGTAGGTATCTGACCAGATTAGAAACTGGATCGAGTGGAATATTCTCTAGTAAACGTTAATGTAAATAAATGTTTGCTAAACCACCTTTTAGAGAGATAAATAATCCCTCAAGAAAACTAAAATACGGAGCTTTGTGAATCAACAATTCTTGTGAAGAAGTAAGCTCATAGGGATCGTAAATACAGAGTGTTAATCTATCCAATAACTTTCCAGTGGTGTCATTTGAATTAGAGTTTTTGTGAAAATATCATCTTAAGACACTTTGATAAGACTTTCTTTAATTATAAAAATTCAAAGTCATCTGTCCTTCAAACTTTCAACTCAGGAATTTTCAATTCAGATAGAGTTGGATCATATTAATTTGCCAAGACAAAAAAAATTATTCTTTTCTGCATAGTTTTATTCGGACGCTTATGAGTCACGGAACTTCGTAGTAAGATTTTTACTCCACTGGAGACCATCGGAGGGAATTCATTTTCACTGGAGGGGTTTGAAAAAATGCGTTTTACAATTTCAAACTTTACGCAGGGTGATTTACATTCCACTGGAAAAAGAAAGGTTAGAGTATAGAATGCTGATAGACAGTTTGTACAGGGGGGTTTATAATTCCATTGGAGGGATTCAGATATCTTTCCAGGGGGTTTATAAATCCACTGGAGAGATTCAGATATCTTTCCTATGGGTTTATAATTTCACTGGAGGGAATCAAGTGTATATCATGGCGGTTTTTAATTCCACTGGAGGGATTCATATCTTTTCCAGGGGGTTTATAATTACACTGGAGGGATTCAGATATCCTTCCTAGGGGTTTATAATTCCGCTTGAGGGATTTAGATATCCTTCATAGGGGTTTATAATTCCACTGGAGGGATTTAGATATCCTTCCTAGTGGTTTATAATTCCACTGGAGGGATTCAGATATCCTTCCTAGGGGTTTATAATTCCACTTGAGGGATTCAGATATCCTTCCTAGGGGTTTATAATTCCACTTGAGGGATTCAGATATCCTTCCTAGTGGTTTATAATTCCACTGGAGGGATTCAGATATTCTTCCTAGGGGTTTATAATTCCACTGGAGGGATTCAGATATCCTTCCTAGGGGTTTATAATTCCACTGGAGGGATTTAAATATCCTTCCTAGGGGTTTATAATTCCACTGGAGGGATTCATATATCCTTCCTAGGGGTTTATAATTCCACTGGAGGGATTCATATATCCTTCCTAGGGGTTTATAATTCCACTGGAGGGGTTTAGATATCCGTCCTTGGGGTTTATAATTCCACTGGAGGTATTCGGATATCCTTCCTAGGGGTTCCACTGGAGGGGTTCAGATATCTTTCCTGTGGGTTTATAATTCCACTGGAGGGATTTAGATATCCGTCCTAAGGGTTTATAATTCCACTGGAGGGATTCAGATATCCTTCCTAGGGGTTTATAATTCCGCGATTCAGATATCCTTCCTATGGGTTTATAATTCCACTGGAGGGGTTCAGATATCTTTCCTGTGGGTTTATAATCCCACTGGAGGGATTTAGATATCCGTCCTAAGGGTTTATAATTCCACTGGAGGGATTCAGATATCCTTCCTAGGGGTTTATAATTCCACTGGAGGGATTTAGATATCCTTCCTATGGGTTTATAATTCCACTGGAGGGATTCAGATATCCTTCCTAGGGGTTTATAATTCCACTGGAGGGGTTCAGATATCTTTCCAGTGGGTTTATAATTCCACTGGAGGGATTCATATATCCTTCATAGGGTTTATAATTCCACTGGAGGGGTTCCCAGGAAGGATATCTGTATCCTTCCAATGAATTATAGATATCTGAATCCCTCCAGTGTATTGTAAATCACCATGCGTAAAGTTTCCTATTGAAAAAGTGATTTTTCAAACCCCTCCAGTGAAAATGAAATTCCTCCGGTGGTCTCTAGTAGAATCGAAATCTTATTATGAACTTCTTTGAGTTGACGCTTGTGCATCTCAGAATTTTTAAAACTTTAGGATTTAAACTTTCAAATCTTAGCAGCAGTATAAACATAAATATATTTTGGAGTTTGAGATTTTGAAAATTTTCTAAAATCATTCCTTACTTCATTCATTCTTCCATCCTTTCATCCGTATATTCATCCTACCTTCATAATTTATATGCAAGGTGTTTTTCAAATGAATGTTGTAAATTGTAACTCATAACTCCTTGATGTTGTAAAATTGAGGATTTCATACAGTTAAACCCTAAATAAGCCATACATCGAAAGAATTCATCAAATGTCGTATTCTTCACTTTCTGATAATAGAATGTTGCAGATACTTAGTTTTTTTTAATTAAATATTATATGGAGCTCTTTATTTATTTTCGCGAATACTGAGATTTGCTTAAAATTAAAATATTTTCAAGACGACATTTGATTAATTCTTTCGATGTATGGCTTATTTAGAGTTTAACTGTACCATTTAAATAATAACCAATGAAAATCTCAAAATTTTCAGATTTTTCTGCTAGCATTGAAAATTGTCTAAAATTATAGATATTTTGTTCAGTCATTTTAAGCGTCCATAAACCTTATCTGTGAGTTGCCACAAAAATGTGGGCCCAATCGGTTCAGCTGCTTAGACGAAGACAAACAAGCCAAATTTTTAAATCTTCCCTGAGCTCATGTGGGTTGCCACAAAAAACCTATATTGGAACCCTGGTTAAAGTAAAGTTAAAGGTAACCTGTGTATCTCCGATATGACCAAGTCCAAGGTCAAGAACTGTAAAGAACAGATGAAGTGGTAACCAAGATACCTACAAATAATGGTTATACAAAAAAAAATCAGAAAATAATTATAACTCTAATCATGAGCTGAATTCTGCTGTTGATGTTATAAACACCCCTCTACCCCCNAGTAATGTATTAGGGGTAGGGGGTGACAAAAACAAGTCCCCCACACCCCCTTATTTACCTCACTGTGCTCCCCCCTAACCCTGTACTCCTTTCTATGAAAAATTGTTCAACCTGGAAAGTAAAATAGCAAATCCCAAACAAAGGCCGGAACTGATTATTTGGCCCAAACTTTAATTGTCTAATCCCTATATCTGACTGAACCACCTACTTTTAAAGACTTTTCAAATTTTAAACTCTTAATACTATTAGATCAAACACTGAGCCCGAGATTTAAAAGCTTCGGCTCGAGTCTTAATTCCTTAAACGCAGCTTTAAGACCCAATCTTAGACCCAACTCTGATGACAGCTTGTGTCGCGTGATTGACAGCTGCGAGATCTTAGGCTCGACTTAAGGAAATAAGCCCAATGAAAATAAAACCGACCTTGGTTGGTTTTAGTGAGGAATAAGGCTCAATGTTTGGTCTTATTCTCATCAAAACCCGGAATGCGCCAATTCCAACTATGAAAATCCGCCATATACAACAATAGATGCAACTTAAATCCGAAAGCCCGAGCCGTATATAAGGCTCAACAACAGCTTAGACCCGAATCGTATTTTCTTGAACTTTTTAAATCGCTGGCTCAGGTTTGAATCACCATTAGTTTGCAGAGAAAGACTGATTAGAAAGTTAGAGCCCATGGACTGAGCGCCGAGCAAGTTCATATTGTGCATAAAGTAATTAGTAATAATAATAATCTAATAATAATTTTGATAGTTCAATACAAACGAATAATAATACTAAAAATAACAATAAAAATGAAGTATTAATAATAACAATGATATTTATAATAATAATAATATTATGTTAATGAATCTGACCGCAAAGGTGAGTGCTATACAAGAGAGCACGAAGGTCATCCTCTTGTTTCTCTTCCTCTCCCTCTCCTTCCTCCTCGCGTCCAGGGCCAGGCTAGAATTCTCTTCCAGGAACCTCAAGATCTAGATATATATATATATAGATAGAAGGATAGATAGATAGATAAATAGATAGATAGATAAATAGATAGATAGATAGATAGATAGATAGATAGATAGATAGATAGATAGATAGATAGATAAATAACCAAACTTCAACTGAAATAATCAATTTTTAGATGGAAAAACATTTTATACTTTATCATTTTTCCTCATTAAACCTATAAACGAAGATGTTCAAAATTGACACACGTAACCTTTTACTTAATTCAGGATAAATACAATTTACAATATACAATATACAATATACAATATACAATATACAATATACAATATACAATATACAATATACAATATACAATATACAATATACAATATACAATATACAATATACAATATACGATATGCAATATGCAATATACAATATGCAATATACAATATACAATATACAATATACAATATACAATATACAATATACAATATACAATATACAATATACAATATACAATATAAAATATACAATATACGATATACAATATACGATATGCAATATGCAATATACAATATGCAATATACAATATACAATATACGATATACGATATACAATATACGATATACGATAAATGATATACGATATACAATATACAATATACAATATACAACATACAACATACAACATGCAATATACAATATACAATATACAATATACAATATACAATATAAAATATACAATAAACAATATACAATATACAATATACAATATACAATATACAATATACAATATACGATATACGATATACAATATACAATATACAATATACAACATACAATATACAATATACAATATACAAAATATATACAGTATATATACTATATGCAATATATATACAATATGCTATACGTAAGTAGGAAACTGAAGAGAACCGTTAGAGAATCAAAACGCATATATATTTACTTGCTGCCTATTGACTATATATGATGTGTAGATCACAGCAAAGGAATCCCAGCAAAGCCGGGTATGGGACAAGTACAGAATATATCTATTGTTATCCTGCAGTATGAAGGATAGAAGCATATATGTATATACATAGTATTGTGCTATAAATGATGCATATGTTAGATATATTGGCAGGATTCACCAGGTCAGTACTTTTCATTCATCAAGAGGAACAGCAGGGAAAATAATAAATAATAATATTATGTAATATATTACTTTATAGGATTATTCTTGTTAAAATAAAACATTTTTGGACGGATTTAGTTTCTGAGTAAGTGTGGCTTCTTTTACACCTTGCTGTTGTTGTCAAATAAAATCAAATATAATATAATACAATAAATCTCTTCGCTCATATATGTCTATATATACATCTTTGCTCAAATATGTATAATAGCTCAATTGTCTATATAAATTTTAGAATGAATACAAAATCCCACAAATTTTGGAATTAATGATACAAATAAACCCCAAAAACATTCCCTGCACAAGTAATTTTTTTTAAATGATTAAATAAGTCATTAAAAGACTATATTAGAGGAAGAAGATTTTATTCAACCTTGGGAACTTTTTTGAGTTCATGTCGTTTTTGCAGTCTCATCCTTTGTGGTTAACCTTGTAGTTCTACTAAATCCTATTTTTGGATGCGTATTATTTGTATTTTGATATGGGTGAACATGTTTTAGAAAATAAAAAAAACAATCTCCNCCCCCCCCTGTCCACCCCCCTTGTACAATTAGTTTGTATTTACAAAGATTGATTTAGATCGATCTTTACCAGACAACTATACACTTTACATTCCATGAGACTATTAGCAGTACTGCAGACCTACAATCCATCCCTTTCCTTAATATACAAAGGGGATCCTTGGTAGGATTCATTTATATACTCTGGGGACCCTTGCTGGATTCCTTTGTATACAATCGGGATCCTTGGAGGATTCCTTTATAAACAGTATGGATCCTTGAAGGATTCCTTTATATACTGTAGGGATCCTTGGAGGATTCCTTTATATACAGTAGGAATCCTTGGAGGATTCCTTTATAAACAGTATGGATCCTTGGTACGATTCCTTTATATACAGTAGGGATCCTTAGAGGATTCCTTTATTTACATTAGGGATCCTTGGAGGATTCCTTTATAAACAGTAGGGATCCTTGAAGGATTCCTTTATATACTATAGGGATCCTTGGAGGATTCCTTTATATACAGTAGGAATCCTTGGAGGATTCCTTTATAAACAGTAGGGATCCTTGGTACGATTCATTTATATACAGTAGGGATCCTTGGTACGATTCCTTTATATACAGTAGGGATCCTTAGAGGATTCCTTTATTTACATTAGGGATCCTTGGAGGATTCCTTTATATACTGTAGGGATCCTGGTAGGATTCCTTTATATAAAGTAGGGACCCTTGGTGGATTCCTTTATATACTGTAGGGATCCTTGGAGGATTCCTTTATATACTGTAGGGATCCTTGGTAGGATTCCTTTATATACAGTAGGGACCCTTGGAGGATTCCTTTATATACAGCTTGGAGGATTCCTTTATATACAGAAGTGATCCTTGAAGGATTCCTTTATATACTGTAGGGATCCTTGGAGGATTCCTTTATAAACAGTAAGGATCCTTGGAGGATTCCTTTATATACAGAAGTGATCCTTGAAGGATTCCTTTATATACAGTAGGGATACTTGGAGGATTCCTTTATATACAGTAGGGATCCTTGGAGGATTCCTTTATATACTGTTGGGATCCTTGGTGAGATTCCTTTATATGCAGCAGGGATCCTTGGAGGATTCCTTTATATACTGTAGGGATCCTTGGTGGGATTCCTTTATATACTGTAGGGATCCTTGGAGGATTCCTTTATATACTGTGGGGATCCTTGGAGGATTCCTTTATATACAGTAGGGATCCTTGGAGGATTCCTTAATAAACAGTAAGGATCCTTGGAGGATTCCGTTATATACTGTAGGAATCCTTGATAGTATTCATTTATATACTCTGGGGATCCTTGGAGGATTCCTTTATATACAGTAAGGATCCTTGGAAGATTCCTTTATAAACAGTAGGGATCCCTGGAGAATTCCTTTATATACTGTAGGATCCTTGGAGGATTCCTGTATATACAGTAGGGATCCTTGGAGGATTCCTTTATAAACAGTAGGGATCCCTTGAGGATTCCTTTATATACTGTAGGATCCTTGGAGGATTCCTGTATATACAGTAGGGATCCTTGAAGGATTCCTTTATAAACAGTAGGGATCCATGGAGGATTCCTTTATACACAGTCGGGATCCTTGGAGGATTCCTTTATTTACAGTAGGGATTCTTGGAGGATTCCTTTATAAACAGTAGGGATCCTTGGAGGATTCCTTTATATACAGTAGGGATCCTTGGAAGATTCCTTTATATACTGTAGGGATCCTTGGAGGATTCCTGTATATACAGTAGGGATCCTTGAAGGGTTCCTTTATAAACAGTAGGGATTCATGGAGGGTTTCTTTTTACACAGTCGGGATCCTTGGAGGATTCCTTTATTTACAGTAGGGATACTTGGAGGATTCCTTTATAAACAGTAGGGATCCTTGGAGGATTCCTTTATATACTGTTGGGATCCTTGGTGAGATTCCTTTATATACTGTAGGGATCCTTGGTGGGATTCCTTTATATACTGTGGGGATCCTTGGAGGATTCCTTTATATACAGTAGGGATCCTTGAAGGATTCCTTTATATACTGTAGGGATCCTTGGAGGATTCCTTTATATACAGTAGAGATCCTTGGAGGATTCCTTTATAAACAGTAGGGATCCCTGGAGAATTCCTTTATATACTGTAGGGATCCTTGGAGGATTCCTGCATATACAGTAGGGATCCTTGAAGGATTTCTTTATAAACAGTAGGGATCTATGGAGGATTTCTTTATACACAGTCGGGATCCTTGGTGGGATTCCTTTATATACAGTAGGGATCCATGGAGGATTGCTTTATTTACAGTAGCGATACTTGGAGGATTCCTTCATATACAGGGATTCTTGGTGAGATTCCTTTATATACAGTAGGGATCCTTGGAGGGATTCCTTTACATACAGTGGGGATCCATGGAGGATTCCTTTATATACATATATTACGTACATATATTGTAAGTGTAGAGTCCAGCTAAATAGGCTGGCAGATAGACCACCACTGCTCCCCCGGCCTTTATATCCTGGTGTAAATTGGTTGTTTGTTAGTGTTTTACCCAATCAAGACTGTTAAAGAAGACGACCTAATATTTAACGTGCAACGTCAGGGAATTTATTACCCAATATAGAGTGAGCTTGTTAATCTGCTGTGTCAGGATTAAATAAAGCAAAAGAAAAGAAAAGAAAACAATGTCCGTATTGAGAATAGAAGAACATTTTTGTCGAATTAATTCCCCATTTAAAAAGAATGCCCGCAAATCTGCAATTTTGAAGAAAATATCGTCTTTTTCAATCTTCAGAGGAAATTTATCAAGGTATTTGAATGAAAAACTATAAGCCGACAGTCCTTTTAAAGCTAACAAACCTCATTTATGATTTAGAACAAGCTAAGCTTAATTGACGATAAAACTACTATGCATGTTTGTTCCTCTTGCAATGCCATATTTGGTTTTTATTGTAAACTATAAAGTATGTGCTGTACCAGTCCATGTACAACAGGTAGAACCAGCATTGGGAATATGTACTGTATGAAGAGGATTGCTACGGTAACAGCAGGTTTCATCAGTGTGTGGGGCCAATCCTCTACACACAGGTAGTAGCCAGCCCAGTCAATATGCCGCAGCTCCTAGATATAAAGAGATATAGTAGCCAGCCCAGTTAATATGCTGCAACTACTACATATACAGAGATATAGTAGCCAGTCCAGGCAATATGCTGCAGCTCCTAGATAATCAGAGATAAATTAGCAAGCCTATTCAATATGCTGCATCTCCTAGATAAACAGAGGAATAGTAGCTGCAGTCCAGTCAATATGCTGCAGCTCCTAGATAAACAGAGATATAGTAGCCAGCTCAGTCATTATGCTGCAGCTTCTAGATATACAAAGATATAGTAGATGCAGTCCAGTCAATATACTGCAACTACTAGATATACTGAGATATAGTAGCCAGCTCAGCCAATATGCTGCAGCTCCTAGATATACAGAGATAAAGTAGCTCCAGTCCATTCGTTGTACTGCAGCTTCTAGAAATACAGAGATAATAGCTCCAGTCCAGTCAATGTGCTGCAGCTCCTAGATATACAGAAATATATTAGCTGCAGTCTAGTTTGTACACTGCAGCTCCTAGATATAAAGGGATATATTAGCTGCAGTCCAGTTTATACACTGCAGCTTCTACATATAAAGTGATATTTTAGCTGCACTCCAGTTTATATACTGCAGCTCCAAGATATAGGGATATTTCAGCTGCAGTCAGTTTATATACTGCAACTCCTAGATGTACAGGGATATATTAGCTGCAGTCCAGTTTATACCCTGTAGCTCCTACATATAAAGGGATATTTTAGCTGCAGTCCAGTTTATACACTACAGCTCCTAGATATACAAGGATATATTAGCTGCAGTCTAGTTTATACACTGCAGCTCCTAAATATACAGGGGTATATTAGCTGCAGTCCAGTTTATATATTGCAGCTCCTAGATATACAAGGATATATTAGCTGCAGTCCAGTTTATGTACTGCAGCTCCTAGATATACAAAGGTACTATAGGCAGCTCAGTCTATATTCTTAGAGAACTTAGATATTTCAAACTATAAATATAAAATAAATATACAGTCATAATCAGAAAGACCCGGATTTAATTTACAGTTAATCAGTTTACATATATATCTCTGCCAATTTCAAATGCTCAAAAAAGGCAGACCAAAGGAATTGAGTCTTTGTCACAAACTCAAATTTTCTAATTCCTATATCTAAGCAACTTGATGGTGCAAACCTTTTACATTTCAAACTTAGATTCTTTGATCTACCAGAATTCATAGTTTGAAATATCTAAGGTCTACGGCATTGGGTTGCAAAGATATAGGGATTTGAAAATCTGAGTTTGTGGCAAAGACTCAAATCCTTTAGGAAAGGATTGAACTAGGGCTATTTCGTGATAATTGTTTCATCAATCATATTTGAACAAATTTGAGTTATGGCAAAAACTTTGTAATATTTACTACAAAGATGTAATATAAATAATGTAAATTTTGTAATAGTTTATTTAACCTGATATATGAGAATTGGAAGGGTGAGACCGAAGGAGATTACCCAAATACTGCAGTTGATAAGTATCACTGTGCAATGTGTAACCTTAAATTAAAAGTTAGTTAAAAAATAGGATTGAAAAGTATCAGTTTATAGTTTAGGAGAATATTAGGAGTTAGTGAAAATCCTTGATTTAAGAGAATGCAAGAAGTTTAAAAAATCTTAGATTTAGGAGAATACAGGAGTTTAAAGAATACTTTTGGTTTAGAAAAATATCAGGAGTTTAGAGAGTATCTTCGGTTTAGGAGAATATCAGGAGTTTAAAGAGAATCTTAGGTTTAGGAGAATATCAGTAGTGTAAAGAAAATCTTAGGTTTAGGAGAATATCAGGTTTAAAGAGTATCTTCGGTTTAGGAGAATATCAGGAGTTTAAAGAGAATCTTAGGTTTAGGAGAATATCAGGTGTTTAAAGATAATCTTAGGTTTAGGAGAATATCAGGAGTTTAAAGAGAATCTTAGGTTTAGGAGAATATCAGGTGTTTAAAGATAATCTTAGGTTATTTTGAAAAATATCAGGAATTTAGAGAAAATCTTTGGTTTAGGAAAATACCAGGAGTTTAAAGAGAAACTTAGGTTTAGGAGAATATCAGGAGTGTAAAGAGAATCTTAGATTTAGGAGAATATCAGGTGTATAAAGAGAATCTTAGGTTTAGGAGAATATTAGGTGTTTAAAGATAATCTTAGGTTTAGGAGAATATCAGG